ATAAATCTTACAATTATACTAAAAAGATATCTATCTTTTCGTAATTTGACAAGGTTTGAACTTTTTAAAATAGATACATATTTCTCCAAATAGTGAATAATATTTGTAGTTATGATCATATTTTTAGATGGAATAGAGTCACTACATACAAAATAAAATAAACTTTTATATATAGACTAACTTATTTTTCATTTAGTTACATTTTTGTTTTGCATAACTGTTGTTTGTTTTGAAAATTTGAAAATGTAGTATATACAAAAAATATATAGTTTTTCACAACTATCACGAATTAGAGTTAAATATTTTTTGAAAGATATAAATCAAATAGAAAGAAAGGAGATAAAAAAAAGAAAGAGAAAATGAAAAAAATGAAAGAAAAATCAAATCATTTTCGTGTGAGAGAGAGGGCATATTTTGTAATTTTACATAAAATACAAAGAATATCTTGGTCAACTTTTTGTTTGGTTATCTATCTAATTTATAATTGTTTGATGGTTAAGAGACACAATTTCCCTTAACTTTTATTTTATTTTAACGCTAATTCCAAAACTCCTTCCACCAACATAAATAGTGTTATCCTTCTACAAAGAATATCATTTCACTAACTTATGACTATTCACACAAATTTTGTTTTCTGATAGTTTATTAATTTATTGTTTTATCATTTTAATTTTATATAGATTATTAATAAGACTTGGGCAATTATAAGTAGGTTAAGAAAATCTCCTAATAATAGACTTGAAAATGATAATCATAAAACCATTTAGTCCAACTTTGCAGTTTAACGTAATTCATGATCTTGTTAAAAAAAAATCCAAAAATAGCTTAATTTCTCTATTTATGGCAATGTAAACAAATATTATAATTAGTTTTTGTTGAATATTTTAGCCATCACCAAATTAATAGTAGAAAGCTCTACTCCCATAAATAGATTAGTGGTCTTCACTCCAATCCACATCAATCATATATCATCCATTCATTTATGAAAAATTTTTAAAAATGCCACTTTTCATATGTCACTTTACAAAAATGCCACATTTTTACAATCTTTACAAAAATGCTACTTTTTCTGTAACGCCCGTGAACCAAAATGTGTATTTTTGGTTGGTGCGTCGATCGACACACGTGGTTGGACTCGCGAGGAGTCGGGTTCTGGGTGTTGCGTCGATCGACACAAGTGATTTGCGTTGATCGACGCAAGTTGAAATCGAACCGACAAGTTCGGTTCTTGATCGCTTGCTTTGGCGTCTGGTTTAGGGAACCCTAGGGCATTATATAAAAATGCATGGAGACATTTTTGCAGCCGATTTTGGAGAGGAAAAGGAGAGGATTTCATAGGTTGTGAGAGAGAAGAAGAGATTGTTGGTTTGAAAACAGTTTTGTCCGATTTTAGAAGTGGAGATGAACGGCTAGGAAGATCGGATCAGAT